TAAACCTTGCGTGATTGCCCGGGAAGATCGGTTGATGGAAAAGGAAAACAATTTAATATCTAATGAGCGCAAAATTTAATGCAATTGTGCTTTTCAAAGGTTCAATAGAAAACGAAATGGAAATTTTCTCATTCCAAATGTCGAATGAAACTGAACAAATTTTTATCCATTTTCTAACCAAAACTTGTCAATGTTATCATTTTCATAATTATCTCATTTCCATTATTCTTGCAGGGAAACAATTCCCTTCCCATGTCAAGCAATATTTTGTTGTCCAATCTTCTTTCCTTCGACCATCAGAATAGTCAAGATTGATAATGTTTTGCATACCATTAATTAGATGAAAGGTCGAAGAGTTTTTTTTTACGAAAAGATAATTTTCCATTTTCGTTCAATATTCCAATTGTCCAGTTCGAAATTTTGGATGAAAAAAACTCTCATTAGCCATTTGATAACTTTTCACTCCCAGAGACAGGGAAGGAAAATGTTTCATCGAAACTCAATTTTGTCATTTCCATTATTAATGGAGCAACTGGTAATGTGTATAAATTTGATTTTTTGAAACAAAAGTGACTCCAAATGGAAGTTATCAAATGATGATTGATCATTTATCGCATTAACGTGTCATTCCCTTTTCATCATCATTATCATCGCCATTGTTATTAATATTATTTACTTGGAATCATCATCAATATCTTGTCATCTTTTCCTTGCCAACCACCGCTTTTGACCCTTTATCATTATGGTTAGTTTAATGAAAACACTGGTTGAAATTGATAAGGTTTTGGCGAGGTTAACATTTATCTTCATTGATTTATGATAATCGACGAAAATGATGAAAAACGTGAAAATTGAATTGACATTGAGTTTTATCCTTTGGATTTGCGCTCTCGATTCAACCATTAAATTCAAATCTAGTCGATGTTGGCTTTTGTTTTCATTGACCTTTACTGGTTTACCCTTTAAATAAACCCTAAAGCAATCATTTATTCATTACTGATGCACCAAGTTTGCTAATAATAATGAATGTGTAAAATATAGTCTACCATCTGAGAAGTAAATTTACTTTACCTATCAACATTGATTAACATTTTCCAAGTCTAATTAGTTAGTCGGAAAGTTTTATTGAACATTCAATTAGACTGTTAATTGTGAAAAGTTGACTTGATTAAAAGATGAGATGGACAACATTGAAATGTGTAAAGTCAAGAAACTGTGGTAAAGCAATTTGCTCCATGTTTCTCTGTCAAGTCACTTCTTAACTCAACTTGTTAATTGTGGAAACTGTTTAATTTGCTCAAAGGAAAGCTTCTTGTGAGCTACTAAAAATTCAAGTCCATGAAGGATAAAATTCTAGATTCGTTTGGATCAATGAATGGCTTTTAACATCTATAGAAACTCGAGAAAAAAAGTTACTTTGTTTCGTTCATGATTGCAAAGGAAGACAATCGGCAGTCTTGTAAACCCAAAATTCGTACGAATGATCCTGTCCTGAACCTCAATTTAGTTTCTTTTTTGACACTCATCAGCCTTGTCTCATGACATCGACTTCAACATTGTCTTCGACTTGTCAAGTGCCTTTGCCACGAACACGAATTGTAACAAAAGTACCTGAAATTAGATGTAGATTGTTTTGAAAAGATAATGGAGCGAGGTTGAAAAGTCTAAAAAAAGTGTTTTCTGTTGATGAAATTTTAATGAAATAGTGTTTTCTTTTGTGCAAATGACTGTACTTGTTGTTTATTAACTTGTATTCATATGTTTATTCATCACATGGAAAGTGTCTTGGAGGGAAAAATGGAAAGCATTATAAAATTGCTGCGAAAAGAAACCATTTTGTTGATATTTTTCTTCTTCTTCACCCACTTCTACCCTTAAGCTGTTTAGTATTCAAGAGTCAAGTTTCAACTTGCCTTCTATTACATTCATTTTATTCATTATCAACTGCAACCTACAACCATGAACATTTGTTAAATTTGTTTTCCTTCATTCCTTTCCTCTCTTTATTCAAGTTGACAGTTTATCATTGCATCTTCTGGTCAATAACAATAAGAGTCTTGAATGTTGTTTAAAAGGATCCAAATTGAATTATACAGGTGAAGGAAAGAGAAGAGTGAATGATCAGGTTATCAATGGTGAAAGGAAGAACAAGAACAAGTAAGAAAATCTATCTGTCCAATAAAGTAATTCAATTCTCGATTCAATCTGAATATCGATGGGTTGGCGTAAAATTTATGCGCAAATGAATGATGAACAAATGCTTCTTGATCAATCGTTTCCTCTAAATGGTCTTATGAATACAAAAGAAGAGAAAAATGGAAAACTCATTTTTTCCAATTTTCTCTATCAATATCTTTTCTTCCACTTCAATTCAAACCAAATGACCCAACATGAAGACTTGACCAACATTCATTTGATCAAACATTCATCGATTACAAGGTAAACTGTAAACAGCCTTACTTGCTTCATCCATTTTCATCCATCAATTGAACCAAAAAGATTGTCTTCAAAATTAATCAACATTCCAACATACGTCAAAAGTACGAATGAAATGCAAAAGTATTGAACCCATTTGGAGTTTGAAATCGATTTCAATTCTGAGTGAAAAATTTTCTTTTTCTTTTTTCAATATTTCAAAAGTTCTTTCACTCGTTTTTCCATCAGTTTTGTTATCCTTTTGGTGACCTGTTGATTTTGTTTGTTATTTTTGTAGCTTTTATAAAAAATATTTACTTTCATCTAAATTCAATATTTTTGTCTGTTAAAGGGCAAAGATTAATTCAATTAATACAAGTTTAAACATTAACAATTGAATCAAAGTTTACCTTAAATTGGAAATAATGTGGAAAGGTTAACATTAATATTTAGAATTGAAACGGAAAACAGAATAAAGTTGATTCTTTTCATCACTACTTCCTGGAAAAGGAAATATAAATTGTTGATTTTGATGAGAAGAAATAATGCATTTCTAATAAACTTTCTGAGTTTATCAGTTTATTGTCAATAATAATCAAAATGGTGACATTGTTGGCAGCTCATTAATGAACCAACAAGCAAGAAATTTTGTTAACATGAAATTTCTTTATGATTAGATGATAATTTTGAAGTAAATCGAGTGTTGAGGTTTGAAAATTTCAGCTTCAAGTAATCGAAAGTTGAAAAGTGGGTAAAAATGAGGAAAATGGTTCGAGGAGAAATTGTCATTTTCCTTTCATTTTTTTCTTCTTTTTCCATTTACTTCAATAATTTCTACATTTTCATCTTCAACTCATCATCATTCAAAGTTTTCATTTGGACGTTACTTAGTTGACCACCAAATGCCATGAGCAATGCTAAAAGCTATCAAGTATTTTTGACTCTCAAGTCAAAGAATATTTGAGTTTCCTTTTTGTTTCATTCACTGACCATTGAAAATATTATAATATTATATTTATAAGATATAAAAAGGTACCAAAAATAAGTTTGATAAGGTTAAAGTGAAGGCAAAAAAGAGAAACAAAATTTGCTTCTTGACTATCCATAACAATGGACTTAATGAAGATGGACAATGATGATAAAGATGAAGAGACTTGAGGATGGTACAGAAATGTGTATTTACGGTCATGACGTTGATCATGTATTAAAATAGTCTTTGCTTGTAAGCCTCATGTTGAGATATTTGCTTGATAAAAATGCTTTCCAAGTTAAACATTCAACTTGTCATTTATTCATTTTGATCATTCGGCTAAATTGTGTCTCCTCATTGTAAACCATTATTCAATTTACATTTAGTCGATCCAATCAACATAATGGTACATCGAGTGGTTATCCATTAAATACCAGTTTCAATCGTCAATCCAATTGACTTTATCAATGGTCATCCAGTCAACCTTGCATTGAGAGTATGTTTGCACCAAAGGTAATGATTAATTCAACAAAACTGATTGTTATTAATTATTACCAATTTTTCTTTTGTCCAAAGATATATTCTTTCGCCATACATCCATCCAGCAATATTAATTATGAAATAGATATGAATATTAATTGATGTAAAGTATTGAAAGGTTTTTCTCCTTTGGTCTTGCTCTTGTTTCTTTGTCACTGCCATTTTTGAATTTTGCTGAGAACCAATAATATCAGAATCTTTGCCATCTAAAATCTTTCATGTTGTGTTCAATGAAGAAAAGATTGTTTTGACACTTTGGATATTATTCCTGGTTAATATCATTTAATCTGTTGATACATGGAAATTTTGATTAGCTTGATTTGCCTTTTTTTCCTCTTCTTTATGGTTGAATATGGACAGAAGCTGAAAAGATTGTCAACTCCATTCATCAAGAAATGCCACATTTGTCATGTTGGTAAATGGAATCATCATTTTTCTTTCTTGTATCGCTTTGGAAACATTTCAACGTTCCGTTTGTGCTTCAGTTCTTGATCATTCATGAGTTTGACTGAGCTTTGGCACAACTTGATACCATGTTTGAAAGAAATGCCAATCGATTAATGTAAAGGTCAAAGTTAAATTGATAATAGACCAATTCCTAGGTAAGAAAAAGAGAACAAAAAGTTATTTTTCTATCAATAGAGTAAATATCATTATTAGCATGAATTGAAGTTATGAATAATGAATAATTTAACAATCAACATTTCAATTGAATCGATAAATGATTGATTGAATGGAAATGGCTGTTACTAAACTTTTAATCAAATATCGTAGCTATTCAAGAGCCCTAGTGCGAGGAATAGGAGAAAATATTGAACAAAATGAGTTTAATAGAGAAAAAAGGACAATTTATTTTACCTTTTCCAGTTGAATTGCTTTTTCTTTTCGCCATTTTTTCCATATTTAACTCACATTTTGGGTTATTATTTATTAATTAAATTTATTGCACAGCTTCCAATCGATATCCATTGAACTATTGGTGAAAGATGGTAAAAAAGTAAAAATCAGTAAAAATTACATTGAATAGATTATTTGATCAACAACTATCATAAGGTAATAATGTTTCTAATGTAAACCAATAAAAGACTGGTGCATATTACCTTTTTTTGTTCAAAGATAAAAACAAGGTATCATTATGATCATTATTATGATATATCTATCAACTGAATAATGTTGCCATTATATTGAATGGCATTGAAGACATAATGATAACAGAAGATAAGAGAGAATTGAGAAGAGTTGAAGGAATGGTGAAAGTAAACGATGAATAGAGTTGAATGAAGCGTGATATGAATAATAAATTCACTGTGAATATTGTAATGGACAATGGTGACATTATTGAAGCTCATCAATTCCAGGTTGTCTCATTATTGATATTATCACAATTATTATTGAGACAAAAAAAGTTTTACCATCAATATCATTAGTCCATTTTACAAGTTTTCTTGTCGTCTATGTAAATTGTCAATGTTGCCTTTTGAACAATCTTTAAATCTATTCACTTTCTGTAGGTTATTTTTTGATGATGATATATCTGGTGTTACATCGTCTAGTCTTTATAAATATTAATGTGATGATGAGGAGAAAAAAATGGAGGAAATAATTGTTTAATATGGAATGCTGTTGATCACGTATTGGTTGAAAGGGAACGTGAATTGTATTATCACGGTAATTGCTGTTCTCACTTGATTCACCTAATTGGTCTCAATTGCTTCTACCATTTAGAATATTACAGATCGTCTCGAAAATAACCAACCAGTGTTAACTTTAATAAATGACAAATAATATGATGAATTGTTTATTTATTATAAAGAATCCACTCTAAAGAATTATCAGAATAAGGTGTAGTCGCCTAACCCTCATTAAAAATTCAATTCCTTCTGAGATGACCTTCAAGGGTGAAGCACTTGAATATTATATTTCACATCAACTCAATGAAGTATTAGTTTAATCACTCTAAAGCTAACATTAGTTGGTCATTTTTTAGACGCTCTGTACTCGCACAGGTTTTATCATCTTCTTGGTAGACTTGGTCATCTTTTCCATCTTTTCTTTCACATTTTTATCCTGGCTCTTTTCATCTCATCTTTATCAATGTTTCTTTTGATTTTTATCAATTGGTTGGGCCTTTCACTTCACTCCCACTTGAGATGTTGATGGTTAATTCAAATGGGTTCATCATGGTGGCTACTTTGAGACTCAATTGATGAGTTGATTATTTGGAATCATGCTTAAGTAACCATAACCAGTTGGATATAACTTTGTGCTGGACAAAATAATGACCAAACAAAGCAACAGCTTCTTCGCTTTTATCAACATATTGATCCTCAGAGTGTTAGGATAACCCTGTGACGAGTATTTTTACTTGTTTTTCTTGGTATTGAATTACAAATTTCTTATTCATCTTATCCAAACAAGATAGTTTCTCTTCCTGAAATGGCAAAAGTTTACTCTCTTTAAAGACTTCAATTATCCTGCACGAGAAGATCTGCACAAAGGATACAAATATAGATTAGACTAATGAAATTGTGACAACAAAATTTGCTCGTGTAACCATTACATAAGTTTCCATATTGAGCTTGAAAAGAAAAAAGCAAGAAAATTTGAAATATTTGATTCCTACCTTTTGTGAATAAACTTCATGTGAACCATAGAAAGCTATTGTATAGAATAGTGAAAGAGACCTTTAGAGCAAGAAAATATTATACAAATGTATAATAAATGACTATCTTACCATACTTTGTTATCAATCTTGATGAAGGTAACCACGCAAGTATTTAATACCAATATTTAATAAACAATGCAGGACAATAACTCATCATTACTGTTGGTATCGAGTAAAAAACCAGGCAGTCGACAATATATAATAGATGGACTTGAAAATCAAACAACAAACACGACCTAAATTTGATCATCCTTTGTTCACAATGGCAATAATTGAAGAAAAAATAGGAAGTAAAAAATAATGAAATAAATAAATTAATATAATAGGATAAATTACTCAACGAAAGTTTACATTACCATTAAATCCATCCGATATAGTGCTACAGGCCCATCATTTTTAAATAAACTGTAAACAATAAGATATTTAGGTTGAGAGGTTAAGAAAATGTCGAAATGAGCAGAAACAAAAGCAGCTTAACCAAAGCCACAAGCCTAAACCATAACCAAGTTAGGTTTAAGCTTAAGCTTTTCTTACCGTAAGAAACCCTTGAAAGAACCGTTGGATAAAACTGAGAAGTAAAAAATGGAAAACGTTGAAATATTGAGCCAAAATTGATACAATCATTAATTTGCAAGAATTTATGAATAAATTGAAAATCTTGAACTAACACTCATTAAATAAACCAACGCTCATTTTGGCGCTTATCACAGCTGATAGTATCACATGACAATTGTTAACTAATCACTGATGATTGTTAAGCGGGTAATTTGAAGACAAACAAAGCAAAACCCAAATTATTTTAAATTAATTTCAACTCTAACAAGACTGATTAGCTAATTTACATTTCCCTGTTAACCCTGCCATTTAACACTGAAAAATAACCAGATAACATGTTAAACACAAAAACAAACCAATTATAGATTGACAGAGAAACGTTAATAAGGATGAAAATGTACGAAACAAGTAAAATTGGTAACAACAACAGTAAACAAAATCAGATATTCATGTCTATCCAATGTCAGTTTCAATGATAATCATAATTAATGTAAAAACGAGATTAAATATTAAATATTGATGAATGTTAAATTGAAAAATATTAATTTAAAGTACAGAAAGCAGACGAGGAACCAGGAAAAGAAGGTGAAAACTCTGTGAAAATAATTGGAAAGTTAAGTAAAAGTGGAAACAAAAATTGATCAGCAACATTAATCAACCTTTTTCCATATCAAATCCCAAGTAAACATTAAGAAATGTTAATTTTAATAATTGAAACCACAAAATTGAACAACAATAAAACGGAGCAAAAGGTAAATCACAATCAACAATCAAACCTAAAAGGTGAATGAAAATGCAAAAGAAAAAGGTAAAGGCGTAAAAAGAAGCGAAAAATACAGATTCAAGAAAAAAAAGAGAAAAGAAAAGAATCCAAGTTGGAATTAAAATCAATTCAATTTACTGTGGATTCCATTGTTGATGAGTTTCTTGTTCATAAAGAGTTTCAGGTGAAATTCGTATGCTAATATTTGCATGGTAAACATTTTGTAAACCAAATAATATTGTAAACGATAGTAAAAGCTGAAACGATAATAAACAACAAAAAAGGCCTTTGGAGACCAATAAGATTGAAAATGGGATTGATAGCAATTGTGAGTTGAAAAACAGGGATAAATAAAAGTGGGCAAAAAAGATGAGTTAAGACTTTATCATTTCAACTTTTCTTTCATGGATTCATCATCATTCTTGGTTTTCATCCTGAAAAAGATAACATTTTCCTTTCCTCTTCTTTTCCACCCTTTCCTTTTCAAAGTGTATTATTTACATTTGTACCTCATCTTGTATTAAATGTATTATTAGTTTCAACTCAATTTTGTTTCTTATCCATTTCAACCTTTTATTATTATATAATATTTCAAGTTTTACTCCATTTCCATCCAGTGTTGAACCAACAAGATGAGAATCATGATAATTGATAATATCCATGAGTGAACTCTATTGAAAGGGTTCTTGTGTCAACAGAAAACTCAAATTGTTGATGTTTACTTGACCACTTTATGATTCTCTTTTCAGTTCAACTTATAACCAAACATTTGTCATTTTTTTCAAATTCAACTCAACTCCATCCTTCAACAGGTTGACCTTAAAAAATTTGTTGTTATAACTGAATGTAGAAAGAAATGGATTTTTATTCAAAAAATCAACAAATGGAATCAGATAATTGAACTGAAAAAGATCAACTTATCAAATGATTAAGTCACTGTTCCAATGAGTGAATCAAAAGCTGGCTTAAATAGTCACTTTAGATTAAAAAAATCCCAATTTTGTGAAATACTTTTACGAAAACAGGGAAAGTGAAAAATTTAAAACATTTCCAGTTCGAAGCTAATGAAACTCCAATTGAAATAACAATAAAAAGGCTCATTAATCGAGGCTGTAAACTCTTTCCAACCACAAAACCTCTTAACAAGCCTCATTAGCTTTCACATCGATCTTTAGATATTTCAATTTCATCTACGAATCTTGATTTGTATTGAAAATTTTTATAGTTGGAAACAAATAATGAAAGGTTGACGTCTTTCAATTGTTGCTTGGTAAAGGTTTTTCAATGTAACCAATAATTGATTGATAATTGATTAATATCGAGTGTTGAAGTATATTTCTTACAAGAAAAGTCAATAAATGGCAGACAAAAGACTGGAAAGTGTTCATTTTGTCTCAATGTTGTCAATTAAATTATCGCCAAGCAAAAGAAAAGGTTAATATAATTGACAATAAAACTGTTCAAGTTCATTCCATTGTGAGGAACAACTTTTTTTTTCATTTCAATCTAATTTATAGTTATTGGTTCAAATTGAATGTTGTTATTCATTTTAATTCATCTCAACCATTTTCAATCCTTTCTCATTCTGTTTGCCGTTTAAAACAAGAGATAAACTTGAACATTGATTCGAGTCAGGAAATTAAAGCAATTTATTGAACCTTTGAAAGGAGTCATGATTAACAGGATAATCAATTGTGACCAGGGAAAACAATCAGCTAACCAGTTGGACTTGCGATTACATTACGAAAGTAACTCTTCTCAACTTCAATCATAAAAAGCTTAAACTCAATGGTCACAAGTGTTGCTCAGGTTTAGATAATTCATGGTAAGGTTTTGCCTTTTAATGGAAAGAGATAATTCGGTCAACATGAAGCAACTGAAACGGTTGAAACTTTATTGGTCATGATTGCACTTCTCATTTCAAATCTGATTGCCCAAGTTTTTGCTGCAATATAATGTTCTGTTCAGAATATCACTTTGAAAGGTAATAATCGTCATCTCTGTCTAACGATTTATTCTGCGACATTCCCCGATTCCCATGAGAAGAAAATGTTAACTTTACAACTTTTCCTTTACCTATTAGTTTATTACCTTTACCTATTGTTATTGTGATTACCACTTGTGATGAATTTATCCTCTTTTTCCTTTCTTCTTCTTCTCTTTCTTTTGGTAGAACTCGAAACTTTTCTTGTTTCTTTCTTTTGTCACCTTTCGAAACTCTTTTTGCATCACTTTTCATCATCCTTTTCAGCCTTTATATCTTGAGGCTTTTCTCTCCCTGTTACCTGGCTTGTTATGCTTTACCCTGTCATCCTTTTTTTGGTAGCTGTCAGTTGATAACAACAAGATTAAAACTGTCCACATAAATTAAATTATCATTTGACCAATGAAGAGAATCATTTGTATTTGTATTAAATTTGCTTTGTGAGTTGAGAAACAAAGAGTTTTCCAGTTGAGTTTACTCTTTACTCTTGAATATCTTTTGGTATAATGAACAATCCAAGTCAAATACAATTTATTCAGTCTCAAAAGTGTTATAATCTTATTAACTTGGAAGAGACAATTTTTTGCCTTCCCTGAATGGGAGAACAGTTTCAACATCCAAATCAGTTTAAATGGACAGTTTGCCAAGTTATCTTTAGCTTTTGGATGTTTTATTTCGTTGCAAAATGAGACGCAATTGAAGAGGAAAATTTTTATTCGTTGGCCAATTAGAGCTTATTAGAGTTTAATCAACATTATTTATCAATTCTTGACTTGGAATGACTGGGATTGATGGGTTGATATAAATTCATTCCCTGTTCTGTACTCGATGCTTTAACCTATTTGGCAGTAAAGACTGACACTAAATGAGTTATGATAAGACAAGTCAGTGAAATATCAAGTCACTAAACTGTCTAAAGCGTTTCAACTCTTAAACTTCCAAGGTTAATGGTTCAATGTCTTGACTGGGAGTGAACGTTTTAGTGATAACATCATTTATTATGGATGTAACTTGTTAAATGTTGTAAAGGATGGAAACTTGATTGCGATAAAATCATTCAAATGGCTTCGTAAAATAATCAATAAATTGATCTGGTTTTTGGTCCAGTTCAAGACTTAATGAAATTATTTCAAATTGATTGAGTTGAATTTACCTTGATAATCGACACAATATATGCAAATTTGACCATTATTCTGGTTCCTGCAACTCTTCATATTACCTTATCTTTAATATTTGATTAGTAAAATTCTTAGAACAGGGAGTTATTTTTATCCCTCCCACTCGTTTTTTAAAAGCATTGAGATTTATGTTCTTTACTACCAGACAGTTCTCAGCACAGCAAGCCTTTTCACAAGCAAAGAGGAGGAAATGACGAGTTTTGAGATGATCTATGATAAAACTTTTGACCTTTATTCCTCCCTTCAAAGTCATTTTTAAAAATTTCCATCACGTTATTAGTTTGACTTTGATGATAATTTTCCCATGCTGAAAGGCAATTCCCATAGGAAAATTTATCAGTGAAAATCCATTTTATTTCCGATTAAATCCATAATGAAACAATTTGACTGAATAAAGCTTATTATAAAAATTTACTCGACTGGGAATGATCGATATCGATTATTCGGTTGAATTCGTCACCTGAAGCATTTCAACTTTGAAAGCATATGAAGTCAAAAAGATGTAACACACTCCTTAGTGAATTCCAACTTCTATGAGCATCATTTTATTATCTTATTATCTACTATCATATTATTATCGCAACCAAACGAAAGTCAATATTTAACCTCAGAATATGTTCATCTGAAGCTCAAAACTTTCATTGGTGGTAGTCTTGAGCTAATTTTTCTGAATTTCGGCAACCTAGAGTTTTGCCAACGAAATACGCTTAAAACTCCCAGCAACTCAAGAGAAACTCCCAGTAACTTTTTATGTTTACTTAAAGTTGGTTGCTGCCACAGGCTCTTCAACTGATTCCAACTTTCATGGCTACCTGTGGTCTTTTACAGCAAACGAAAATTATTATTGAGCTATAGAATACGTTAACGCGAAATGCTAAACGTTTGATGATCGTGTATACCTTTGAATTCTGACGATTTCGAATTCTATCAAAAAAATTCTTGAAAAACTCCCTGCAATTCAAAAGCAACTCCAAGCTAATTTCAAAATTTCGTAGTTATAAAGCTGTCAAAAAATTGCAAGTTTATTCTTCGTCATTGACAGCTTTTATTGTGCTCCTTCCAATCACAATTCAATTACCTTTTTTACACTTGTTCGCACTGTTTACCCATTAGATTAACATTATAATTTATTCTCTTCTACTAATAAAACTAGCAATAATTAAACTGATGAACCTTTGAAAAGAAACGGAAATAATAACTG